TGTTCTGGATATTTGTCAACTTCCCAAAATGGATGAAAATGTTGACTTGTAGTGCACTGGAGTTCATGTCACCAGGTCACACTGTTAATCAAGCTTTCTGTTTAGAGGTTCTGAAAAGATTGCTCAATGGTGTGCCATAAAAATGGCCTGATTTGTGGCAGATGGGGGACTGCTTTTGCCACCATAACAATGCACCTGCTCATGCAGCCATCCCAGTGCGCCAGATTGTGGCAAAAACCAGCATGCCTCTCTTCTCCTACACATCGTACTCACCTGACCTCACTCCATGCGACTTCTTTTTGTTTACATGAATGAAGAGGGATATGAAAAGACAGCGATTTGACGACTTAGAAGAGGTGAAGAAAAATGTTTCAGAAGAGTTTGAAAAATGTTTCCAAGAATGGAATTGCAGATTTGGCATATGTATTAAGTGTAATGGAGAGTACTTTGAAGGTTATAAGGTTGTTTTGTAAAAGAATACATAGCTTTGAAAAAAAAAAAAAGAGAATACATAGCTTTGGAGGAAAAAAATAAAATTAAAATTTCTGGGGTTTTTTTGGGTCCCCCTTTCTATAGTGCTTACATTAGTTCTTTAAAACTTTCATCATTGTGCTTTTTGGGGGTGCTTTATTTGCCTAAAATATCTAAGATTTAAGTAATTTATTTACTGTATTGAGTTTTTACATTCAATGTACTGTATTTATTGTGGTTAGATGTTTTAGGAGGCATTTCCACAACCTAGGACTAGGAACTTTATGTTAAAATCCTGGAAAAAAAGGATTTTATAAGTGTAATTTTGGGGCCTCAGAACTAATTATTTATTTTTCAATTATTTCTATGGGAAAAATATGCTCAGTTCTCAAGCTTTTTGAACAAATCTTTGGACTGAATTGAGTTCAATTACTGAAGTATCACTCTTTGGTCTTCAGCAGGCCCTGTTCTAACTGTTCTCTGCTGCTTGTGCATCTGTAGCATGGTGGGTTTGATGCTACTCTCAGGATAGACCTTTCCCCTGCCGCACTCACCAAACCAACCCTTGGCCACTGAGAACACCTGACTCACGGCGAGCCTGTATAGAATGTAACTCTTTACAGGAGCCCATGGCTTCTTTTTTCTCAGTTGAAGTGGCTGGTGGGTGTGAACTGCTTGTGGTTAGCACCATAACAGTTATTCCACAGCCCAAGAGGACTTCTTTAACTGCTGGGGGTAGGGCAGGGGGAGGAAATTGCTGCTTGGTGTTCATGATTGTGTTTAAGATACAACCCTTGGTAACAAGCCGGCAGTGATATGTCTAGTGGGCATATGTTCTTCTCAAACCCAATTCTGTAGACGTAGGGAGGTTAATAGTTCGGGAAACTCCTTTATGACCTGGGTTTGATGACCTGTAATCCTCCGTTCACGCTGATCACATTCGCGACCCTCTTCTTGCTTTTTAACGACTGTTCTGCGGTTCTTTATGGAGATGTGTATTTGAGTAGCTTCTCCTCACTAGGGAATTCCAGTGTGTGCCTTAGAAAAGCAGCTCCAAGCCTGCCAGGAAGGTCTGCGCTCCACCCCGGCATCAAGTTCTGTTTGCCTTGGAGCCCCTTGCCAAAGGCCCAGGCACAGCAGACAGAGAATCCCCTTAGACAACGGCGCCTGTGAGTGTGGTGTATGCAAATAAAGTGAAACAGCAACACTATGCTAATCTCTAAGAGAACGGTGAGGCAATGGGATGAACCAGGGGAAAAAAGTTGTGGACTTGAGCCTAACAGTCTGGTGTTTCACTGCTCTTTTGGTAAACTGCTCTGAGCCACTTGCCATCTGTGAATCCCATATTTTCACCCATCAATTCGAAAGGCAAGTCCCCGGGGGGTGCACACAGTTAATGGACTTGACTGCCAACTGAAAGTTGGGACATTTGAGCGCAGTCAGAGGCAATGTGGAAGAAAGGCCTGGTGACCCACGGAAGGAAAGATGAGTCACGCGGGGCTGCCTTGAGTTGGAGTCCACCCAACAGCGACAGCAACTGTGTTCTCTTTGAGTTAGCAAGAACAGCTCCTTGTCCTCCGTCACCTGGCAATCACATGGATAAGAACAACCACAAAATAACACGTACTACTCCTGTAGCATTTACTAGGGGTGAGGCATGGTCCTCCGCATGTAAAACACAGGAGCGTATCTAATGCCAGCAACCACAAGGTTGTTATTGTTGCTATAGCGTCCTCAAGTTAGGGAGGTGAGGAAACGAAAGGCAGAGAGTCGGTAACTTTCCCAAGGTCGCACCGTAGGTAGGGAACCAGGACCTGAGGTCACTAGCTAGTAGTTTGTGAATGTTACCATCCATTTCATTAAAAGTGCTTTTAAAATGCAAATGAAGTCAACTCTAAAACCAAACCAAGCTGGTGGCACTGAGCTGATAGGACTCATAGCGACCACAGAGGTTAGGGTAGAACTGCCCCCGTGGGTTTCTGAGACTGCAGCTTTTTATGGGAGTGGAAAGCCCTGATTTTCTCCCAAGGCATGGCTGGTGGTTTCAAACTGCTGACCTTACCATTAGCAGCCCAGCGCATAACCACTAAGCCCATTAAAAAGTGCAGTGTTATATTTTCACATTTGATCTCTCTACATCCTATTTTCTCATATTTGGGGGACCTTGGGAAGATTATTGCTTTGCATACTTCGGCTAAAAATGATGTTTTTCAAAAGTCAGACAAGGAATTTGAGAGGCACTCAACCCTGTGACTGACTGGGCATTTGTGGGGCCACCGGAATGGCTCCTTAACATGACTGTCATTATAATCAAATCAAAGAGCTAAAAGTCCTTTGCTGCTAGCTCTTAGACTGGCCGGTCATCTCCACCCAGCAACGCCATGGAGAAAAGATCTACAATCTTTCTTATAAAGATTAAAGCCTAGAAAACCAGATGAGGCCATTCTATTCTGTCGCATGGGGTCATTGCGAGTCAGAATTAACTTGATGGCACCTGTAAAAAGGATGTGACAGGCCTCTCTGCATAGGATCTCTTCTCAGTTCTCAAGGGGTTAAAGGACTCAAACTCATCAGGTCCAGTATGATTGATTCCTTCGAGGCTGAGGTCAGACATGCCTCCACCCCACCACCTTCTTATCAATTCCGTCAGCAGTCAGCTTTCCACGATACTCTCTCAAATGCAGCTGCGCTCAATCATTCACTGCAGTGGCCCTCACAGGCCATATCAAAATTATGAACTTTATTGGGGCAGCTAGCAGCTTACAGTTCAGGATCAGAAATGCTCAGGGCACAATTCCTTGGTCAAGATAGCTTCTTAATAGGCATGCCTGCAGGCAAGCCTCTCTCTGGTTCCCAGACCCTAGATCTAGCTTTTGTCCTGCTGGGGCTGTGTTACAAAGCTCTTTTAACATGGCTCCAAAGTGCCCAAAGGGTGGAGCAGTCCACCATCAGCCTCAGCCTACAGGTGTTGGGCTCTACTTAGCCAGTCAGCAAATTTAGCTTCCAGATTAGGTACCTGGAGGCACCCCACTCTGAAAACAAAACTCCTGCCGAAAGGCACTCAGCTGTACTCAATGAGTGGACAGCTCACTGCTGTGTCTCCTCTGGTGCTACAGCTTTTGTCTCCCGGAGCAGCATCTAGAGGACGTGATCTGCTCCTGGCTCATTTTTCTTTCTTTCTTTAAAAACAAGCAAACAAACATTTATTAGGACATAAACCAGACATCCTACCGTCCAGTAGTTCCGATATATCAAGAAGTGTTGTACAGTTGCTATCACATCAGTTTCAAAACATTTTTTTCTCCTTCTTGTACTCCTTGATATTAGCTCCCATTACTGCCCCTCACACCCCCTGCCATACCATAGCCTACCTCACACCCCCTGCCAATGGTTGTTAGCATTCCAAGTTTTTACAATCACAACTAACCGTCAAGAGTTATTACAACGGACTCAAACAATCCTGCCAGCATCATCCCTCACCTTCTCTTACACAGACTCATCAGCAAGAGAGGAAATACATCTGATCTGCCTGGTCACACCCACTTGTTTGGTGGGAGTTAGATACTATGGCTAGAAGACCATCAGCAAACAAATCATTGCACTGCAGCACCCACCAGCAACAGTCAAGCCATGGGTAAATCCATGGTCAGGAAGCTGGACCAGCTGTACAATTAGATTAATGGGTGGGTCTGTTTGATTAAAAATGAAAGTTAGTTTTGGGGAATACTAGCAATGTTTGGATCAGTAATGTCCATACTTGGATTCTCTAATGTTCCTGAATAGCAGAGATACACAGGATCTGATAGCTCAGAAGTCAAGACAAGTTGCAGCCATAGTTGCCTAAACCCCACAGATGGTTGCTGTCAATTCTGTTAGCTCAAATCTGTTATGCGATAAGGAAGGTTCAGTCTATGGCAAGGGCACCAAAATAGACATGGTGACAATCCAGAGGCCCATTCATCTCATAGGCATAGTGTGACTAGAGTATTTATAGGTCACAGCTCCAGTGGGCTGTGTAGCCTTTCATTCTATACCTTAAGGGGGAAGAACCTGTGATGTTCACTGAGTTGCACAATGGAGGTTTATGCCTGTGTCAGTTCTGATGTGTTCCCAACAGCTGCAGTGGTGCCTCCTCTGGGAGGTTAGGGAATGTGTGCCTGTGCCTCACTGCCAGCCCCTTCTATCATTAGAGCACACGGAGATCAATGCGCCGTGCAAGGTCAGCAAAGCCCTCGCTGGCTGCAGGCCCAACAGTTGGCATCAGGGAACTCTGGGACTAAATAAACGGTTGGTGATTTGAGCAATCCCAGCAGCTCGGCGGGAGAAAGAGCCTAAGGAATGAAGAATGTAACACAAACAGACTGTGTACACTTAGGTTTATTGCAGCAATTTCCACAAGAGCAAAAACATGGAAAACAGCCCCAAACCCCAACTATAGGGAAATGTATAAACAAGCTCGGGTACATTCATACTATAGGATTTTATGCACCAATAGAAAATAAGGGTTACTCTCTGAAACGCCGCACGATATGGACAAAACTAGAGAAAATTATGCGGAGCAAACTCCATTCATCTTACAAAGATCAATATTTAACATCACCAGTGTTCAAAGGAAAAACGCAGAAGAAGAAATGTGGTTTATACACCAGTAGAGAAGACTGGGACGGGTAGGAGGCCGGGGCAGGGGGTTGGGAACAGGGAGAGGGCAGGTGCGGGGATGACTACAAAATGGAGGGTATGATGGTGAGGTAGTTAGTTAATTGTACCAACCTGGCCGATAAACACACGTGGGGTTAATTGAAGCACCGAGGGATAAATGGCTCCGTGAGCCTCGCCTTTCTAGTTCTCGCGTCTCTTGCTTTCTGATGGTCGCACCAGAGTGCTGCTGCCTTAGCAGTTCCCTGCTTCCACTGACAAGGCTCACTTCCTGCAAGACATCCCCGAGGAGAAGCCGCACGGGTAAGGTGACCAGATTTTAACATTGGTAAAGCGGGACACCATTGACTGGGGTGGGGTGGGGAGGTGAGGTTCTTGATTAAAAATTTGGTCTGTGTGGACCAAATAGACCGTTCCCTAGCTTGTGCATTCTTTAAAAAAAAATCGGGACTTTTTTAAAACGCCAAAAATCAGGACTGTCCCGCCAAAAGTGGGACGTCTGGTCACTTTACGCATGGGCCTACTCCGATGCAGCCCTGGGTGCTGGAGCACCTGTGTGGAGACCCTGCCAGCGCTGAGATGCTTACACATTCATTGACTTGGCTTTCCTCCTGCAGTCGGTGTCATTGCGTGTATTTTGTGAGATGGGGGAGGACTTTGTGGATTGGTGTTAGACATATGGGCTAATGTTGAACTTGTGGACTTGGGCAGCACTGGGTTGGGATGTTTTCTTGATGCACACTTAACCTTTATATAAAACTCTCTCTGATACATGAGCTTCTGTGGATTTGTTTCTCTAAAGTACCCAGACTAACACAGATGGGATATTGGTTTTGAATTTATTTCTTGAACTGATTATATACATATACATATACATATACATATACATATAATGTTTCCTTAAAAGCCAAACAACCAAACAAAAAAAATCTCTCCAGATTCCTTATCCCTAAATTATAGAAGGAAAAAAATATTTTTGTCTTCTCTGAAAAGATGACAGTCCAGTAAACGCTGTGGCGCCTGTTCTTGTCACAGGGGCCGTGATGAGTCAGAATCCGCTCTCTGCCCAGCAGCCCTGGAGATCCTGTTCAAGGAGAAAGCTCTGTAGTTACTACTGACTTTTAGCCATTTATGTAGCCTTTAAATTCGCACCCTTTAAGTACTTAAAGCCCTAGTAGCACAATGGTTAACTTGTGTGGCTGCTAACTAAAAGGTTGGCATCTCTGAGGGTTAAAGACCTGTTGACCTGCTGCCTTACAAGATTACAGCCTAGAAAGCCCACTTTGTGGGGTTGATATGAGTCACATTTGGATCTGTGGCACCCAATAACAATCACAGTACGTCTCCTTTATAAATACCAAGTTATACCTCATGCTGTTGACCCCTGACACGGCAGCCTCCATTACAGGCAATCTCTTGGAGAGCTCGAGATGGGTCCGGATCCTCTGAGTGTAGGAAACTGCCAGCCCCATGTGTGCACCCCCCCCCACACTCCTGTAGCGGGTCCTGCTTTGAACAGCAGCTTCGATATGAACAGTGATAGCAAAGAGATAGCGAAGATGAAGCATAGGACTTGACTGACAAGTTCTCTCATTCTGTGTGACCACGTGGGGCCTTTTGAGACAGTGTAAACTTAGTGGAAGATTATTTGTGCTTGGAACGTGTAAACTTTAATCCATATGTGAAATGTATTTGAATGATATCCTCGAAGCTGAAACATCTTTTAAATAATTTTTTTTTATCTTTTAAATTATTAATGGTTTGAAAACCAAAGAATGACTCAAGAAAATAATGGCTGTCGCATGATTAATATTGAAAATCATTTTGACCTACAGAAGGGGGGCATTCACACACACACTGGGCATGCCACTCACATAGCCAATTGCTCTCTTCTTGCATGTACATTAGTTATTGGCCAACCGTCTCCGAAGAACAAGCGTCCAAAGGAGCCTGGAGAGAACAAAATCAAGCCTTCCAACAAAAAGGTGAAACCCAAAGTCCCTAAAACAAAGGACAGAGACTCACCTGACTCTCTGCAGTCTATCATGGTGCACGTGCTGGATACTGGGCGCTTCCAGAAGCCTGCTGCCACCCTGAGCCTGACGGCCGGACAAACTGTAGAGCTTCGCTGTAAAGGGAGTAAAATTGGATGGAGCTATCCTGCCTCTCTTGACACCTTTAAGGACTCTCGTCTCAGGTGAGCATTTTTTAATTGCTTTGGGTCAAGAGTTTGGTTTGTTGCTTCATTAAATGTCAGATTGCTTCTACCATCTCTCATTTCACCCTCGTAGATTCTAAAAATGGAAGCTCAATGAGCAAAAGATTTCTTTTACTCACCCAACTCAATGAAATGTTATAAGAAATCCTAGGACAAATAACTGAAACAGTAATGCGTAGTGATGGATATTTAGAGATTTGCATTGTGAACAATACTTTCATCTCTTAATGTTTTATGTTATTTCTGTTTATGTCATCATTGTAAACGCTGAAATGACCTAATGGGAGATCCCTATGACCCGCCACCAATTTTAAGTGCTTTTACATTTTTTTAACTACTTCTGATTTATAAAAACTTTCCTAAATATCTTGACTTTTACACTTAGTGCTCTTAATTAATAAGAAAGTCCAACCTTTCTCATGTTTGAATTAATTCCTTCAGGAGGCTGGTGTCTTGCTTTGGAAAAATGGGTAAGGTGATGGTTAGGACAATTCTTAGACCAAGAAAGGAGGGCCCGCCACAGAATGCTGGGGAGGCTCCTGTGCACTGGCTTGAGCCCCCTCTGGGTCTCTGAGGAAGACCCTAGTCTCCCTGGGTTGAAGTGTGCTCATGTATCGAATGAAGGCGATTGGACTACCTGATTCTTCGCTCTTTTCATCTGTAAATTCCTTTCACATAAAATAGAGAAATGTAGGGTCTTCTCAGTTTGGCGTGACTGGAAGGACAGACAGAAAGAATGGGCATCTCAGACTCAACTTGTTCCCATGAGACTCCTATCTCCTCATGAGCGTCTCCTCCACAGTCCATCTCCCTACAGGCACGACAGCACCTCGTGCAGCCCCAGACCTGAGTTACAGCCTTGATTCTTACCTACAGCCAGGTCATCCCCAGCTTCGAAGTCACTCCAGTTTCTCCAGTCTTCCACGTGTCCTCTTTCCACCTCTGGCCCCACTACTTCTGTCCCAGCCTCTGTTCTCGCTCAGCTCAAAGGCTGTAATAAGCACACCCAGGCCTGCATCCCTCTAATCTCCCAGCTGGAGTGCTGTTTAAAAATCTAGGTCTGATCAAGGCACTCCCCTGCTAGCACCAGTGGATTTCCATTAGAGATAAAGTCGGCATCCTTCCATGGGAGACACGCCCTGAACACTGCCGTCTCTCTGGAGTCTTCTCGAATATCTCAGTCTGTATGAGTGGGGCTTCACGGAGCTCATGGAAAAGTGAAATGAAAATCCCCCATAAACTTTGTGAAGCCCGTTCATGCCTCGGGAAGGTCTGATCTGGGCTCCTGAGAGAACAGGAAGGGACAGGCTCGTGGCCCTGCGTGTGTGCCGCTGTCGTTGTCTGGGGCACAGAGGCCATAGAACCCGGTGCCCAGAACACCCTCTCCTTTTCACCTGGCTGACTTCAGCCTACATGTCATTTTCTCAGGGAAATCCCTGTCAGACCTCCTCAGGGGGGCTTTCCTGTCTGACGCTTCCTCTCTCAGCACTCTTCACACTACATTAAGAAACAACTGTTTCCCACGGAGGCTTAGAGGAATTCCTCACATTCCGATGGCATTCAAGGTGGAATGCCCTCCTCTTTCACATCTTTCCAGGCACGCTGCTGCTCTGTCGTCACGCACCTGGAGAATCAGTATCTTGAAAGTAATGTCTCTTTGTCTGCCTAGCTATCCATCCCTCTTCATGCTTTTCTTCTGGTTATACGCTCCTGTCTCCATAGTCAGTAACTGCTGACTTATTCTTAAGGATGTGGAGGATGAGACAGTAAGACCATTTCCCCTACTCTCTCTATACTAGGCATGTGTTTGTGTGTTTGCATTCCCTGCTTGGAACAAATTTAGAAGGATTTACTAACAGAGATAGCGTGAATGCCTTTATTTATTAAAGTCAGATGTGCACCTGCTTTTAAAAATCTAAATTGATCTCATCTATGATACAGTGAACACTTAATCTTTGATTTATACAAAGAAGACTAAAGCTAGAGGATTCAGCGGTTGAAGAGTTAGTTGCTTTAGGAGTTGGTCCCAAAGTTGTACTAGCCAGTGTCTTGGAAAAACGGCCTGGGAAATACTCTTACAAAACTAGTCATGGTGAGCCCTGTGGAGCACAGCCCCACTCCGACACAGCTGGGTCACCAAGCGTCCCAATGGACGCCAGAGCCGCTGGTATTAGCCAGTACACCCACACCTCACATGTTGACACGCTTAGGGGCCAAAGACCTGGTCCTTCTATAAAACTGGCGTTATACAGGAATTGAAGGGCACACCCCATCTTCAGCTCCGGTTTCCTCCCACCTCTAGTCTCAGGCTGACCTTGGTGAGGAGGCCCCCCCTTTTCCAACCATGTTGTGCCACCACTCCAGAGCCCTTGGTGATCAGGGCTGGAGGTTGACTGGGTATTGCCCACCACCCACCACTTCCTGCTGTTGTCCTGGGCAGAGAGGCGACTCCCCTAATGTCAACCCTAGTCGTGCCGTCATGGGTGGGCCCTTTCCCTCTCCTCCTCTCCCTTCCTCCTCCACTGTCCATCTATAACCTCACATTGCCCTGTGCTCCTGCACCCTCTGTGACCAGACCCAGATGCCGGAGAGGAGTGCAAGGTGCCCGTTGGTCTGCCATCGCTCCTGTGATCTGGATGTCCCCAGGGCTTCCCCTAGATCACTTGGGTGGCATGAAGAAGATCCCTACACTTGACTTGGCTTCACATGGGGCTTGAACGATGAAAGGCAGTGCCTGAGAAGTTTTTCAAACTTGTAAATATGAAATATTGTGAAGTGCGGTATAGGTATCTATGTTCAAAAACCCCTCAAGCACATACTCAAAGTGAATGAGCATGAAAGATAAATATCCAAATGCCTGAGAAGAAGACAAGTTTGACTTACAAGATTAAATAGCATTCATCAAAAGCACAGATCTGTCTTAGAAGTATAGCCAGAATACTGCTTCCCTACTTTGGACATGCCATTGGGTGAGACCAGCCCCTGGGAAAGGACGTGTTGCTTGGTAAGGTAGAGGGCAGGGAGAAAGAGGAAGGCCCTTGACAATGCGGATCGACACTGTGGCCGCCACAGTAGGCTCAGACATGACAATTGTGGCTCGGGTGTTTCATTCTATTGGGCGTATGGTCACCGTGAGTCGAAACTGACTAGGTGGCTCCTGGCATCATCAACATTGAGAGTACACACCTCTAAGGCTTTATCAGGAAGGGCACATGGATGTTGACACACACACACACACACACACACACACACACACACACACACACCCAGCCAGGGCCTCATAGAAATGTGGAGAACATCTCATTACAATTCTATGTCAAACCACAGCAAAGAAACAGAAAAACCGCACGATTTGTTTGACACCAGAGATTCAACAAATGGACTCTTGACATCTTTCCCAGAACATGGTCCCTTTGGATAGAGAAGTATTCATCCTGTGCTTTCCTTTCCCATGGAGAACAAGTTCTTCCAAAGGTATCACAGCGTTGGGCGTGGAAGCTCCCCACAAAACTTCCAACAGAGCCCGGTACTTCTAACCAGTCCTGGATGTGCTCTGGAACTAAGGTCACATGTAGTCACATCTGTTTAAATTTAACCTTCTGGTCACGTTATCATTTGCTATTGATTTGAGAGATAATGCCTTGTCGCTGAGCTACAAAAGCAGACACAATTTCCTTGGGGAAAGAGATCTAGTTAACGTGTAAAGCCTCAGATATATGAAACAGGACCTGATTAGAGAATTTGTTATATATGCATGCATGTGTATTAATTTTTCCCCAAAGTGCCCTATGACCTGGGAATGTTGTTGTTGTTGTGTTAGTTGCCATTGTGTCAGCCCAGCTGAGGCTTTTATGGGGCAGAAAGCCTCATCGTTCTCCTGCGGAGCAGCTGGTGGAGTTGGCTGGCGGGTTTCTGAGACTGGAACTCTTTACAGGTCTCCTGTGGAGGGACCGGTGGCTTCAAACCGCTGAGCTTGTGGTTAGCAGCCCAAGGCGTAACCACTGCCCCAGCAGGGCTGGCCTGGGGGAATAAATACAGACAGGTGGGTTCCCTTGGCCTAATGGAGGTAGCTTCAGGGAAGAAGAGAGATTCGTGATCTAATTTTTAAAACATAGTCTTGGGTTATGGACAAATCAAACTGATTTCTAAAGGTAAGGATCATCACAAAAATAAATACATAAAGATAGTTTTCCAGGGAGTGCCTTGATTTCTTGCTGTGGATTGAAAGTGGAAGAAATTCCATGTTAATTGAGGACTCCCGAATGCTCCACCCTTCTGCTGGGCCCCTTCAAAAGGAGATCCTTGTCAGGAGAGCATCAACAAGTGCGCTTTGTGCCAGGGGACCGGATCGTCCCAGAGGCTGGAGCCAGGATAGAGGTTCTCTTGAGGTCCGTCCAGGCCTGTCTGCGGAGGCTAGCTTCCTCCGCCTTGGCCAACCTTGTTGTCACAAGGCCCACTAGGTGGCAGGTTTCAGCTACGTTTCCTTTTTCTTTAGTTGTAAGCGGAAGGGTCACACAAGGAGTGAGTGCCCTGCTTATGGCTCCTTCGTCCTTTGAGGCTACTCATCTGTCACAGTTTCGATTCACACTTTAACCAACACAGAATTCAACTTTGGAAAAAACCAAAAGGGAGCCGTTTTAAATATGTGTACTCACATAGGGATACATTCATTTGTAGCGCTGAGCCCTGCTGGCTCTTCTAAGATCACTGTATACTTTGAAGAAGTCACTGAATAATATGAACAGCTAAGCATTTGATTCCTGAATGGTGGCCTGAACTTATGTAGGGGTACCTTGGAAGAGAGGCCTGGTGGAAAGAGCACTGTGGAGTATAGTTCTCCTTTGCCACATATGGGTTACCAGGAAGCCAAATCAATTCGACATCAACAGGTTATGTGTTGTTCTTTGGGGTGGGGGTGCTTTGAATTGCTTAGTTGATCCCTCAGAGGATAGCAGTCATGTGAAGCCTGGGATTTTCAT